TCTTTTTTTCAATCAGCCAATAAGAGCTCGGCGTTCCCACATCATCGCGACCCCTGCAAAGAAGCAGACGGACTTTTGCTTCGCGTAGTCACTGACAAGGTGAGAACGACAAGGTAGAGCTCCAAATGTCCCGCCTCTGGCACGAGCATTCCTACCTCCGGCAACGCTTCGGCGTTGCGTGCACCTCGAGCGCGCACGCGCAGCAAAGGCATAGCGGAAGGCACAACGCGCGTGCCGTGGGCAGGGCCTTCGGAAGACACGCCCTGCCGTTCTCACTCTGTCGGTGACTATGGACCGACGTCACTCTTTCACGTCACGCCGCAGCGGTGGTGCTGCTGTCGGCACCGTGCATGCGCTGTTGACTTTCGAGTTGTTTTAACCCATACGAAGCGACAGATCACATTATCGATGAGACTTGCCAGATAATTAGTTAAGCGTAGGTAAGTAACTGGTTCCCAAAACATGCCATATTAAATGCAGTGAGCTTGTGTACAGTCCCATGAAGGAAACTCTGCGCTTTATTGCATACGCACTCTTTATATATATATATATATAGAGAGAGAGAGAGAGAGAGAGAACGAAGAGGGGAGAAGGTGATTATTGAATTTATTGCATTAAAGTTAGGGAAAGGGAAAGGGAAAGAGAGCTGGCGAAAAATTGGGCCAGGAGCGGGGATTGAACCCGCAACCTTCGCCTGACCGGGGCGACGCCTTAACCGATTAGACCATCCTGGCCACTGGTTTCGGCGGACTCAATTTGTGACCAGCTCTCTGTGTACTGTTTAGTTTCGAATTCGCTTAACTGGGTAGACGACAACCGTTGCTGATTTAAGGCCCGCGCTATTTCCGACATGCGGCAGTGACGTGGCACGTCATCTTGCAAAAGTCAGCCGACTTTTGCAAGCTGAGATGACGTGCCACGTCACTGCCGCATGTCCGAAATAGCGCGGGCCTTAAATCAGCAACGGTTGTCGTCTACCCAGTTAAGCGAATTCGAAACTAAATAGTACACAGAGAGCTGGTCAGAAATTGAGTCCGCCGAAACCAGTGGCCAGGATGGTCTAATCGGTTAAGGCGTCGCCCCGGTCAGGCGAAGGTTTTTCGCCAGCTCTCTTTCCCTTTCCCTTTCCCTAACTTTAATGCAATAAATTCAATAATCACCTTCTCCCCTCTTCGTTCTCAATATTACTACGGCTGCACTTGTCAATCTTCACTCAATCCCATTATATATATATATATGGCTCTAACAAAGAAACCGCAAAAAGGCAACAATCACAATGAGGGGTCCTTGTTAGGATAGAGTAAAAAGAAAACAACAATAAAAAAAAAAACGTATAATCGGGTGAGCGAGGCATGCAGCTGCGCATGCAAGTGGTGTGTCCACAGGAGTCCAGCCCCCGAGTTCAGGTGAAGGTTCAGCGCGGTGAGGAATGGACCTGGAACACAGCCCATTGTGCCTCCTTGTCACACGGCCCGCTGGATGATCTGGTGTATGAGAGCCGCACTGTGTAGTGTCACCGGGCTAAGCCTATCGAGCCAGTCCGTGGAAAATCTAAGCGTCAGCATCTCCGACATGGCTTCGTGGTCGCAGCAGCGAGGAGGGCCGCTTCATATGTGTCGACGACTCTGAAATTTCCAAAATGATTCGTGTGTCAGCAGCTGTGTGACAAGAAGACCCTCGATGCCGGCAGTCTGTGTAATTAATGTGCGGAGTAATTAATTAGTAGTACTCATTTAGCCGCAGGTTCTATAGTTAAAGGAAATGGCGCTAATAACGATCGAGGACAGACATGCACTACATGCTTTTCTCGACACTAGGTATAAAATGGGAGGTAAGAAAATTATTTTCCGCAGGTGTAGGATGACGTATTGGTCAGTGATGTCAGCGCAAGTGCAATCGTTATGCAAATAGTGACTATTTCGAGAACCATCGAGATCAAATATTAACGATGACCGTGCGAACGATGAGGCCTCCGACACATATTGCCCGGCCAGGAACAATGATATTAAGGCTGGAACCATGAGGTGGCCTTTGTAGAACCCAAATTTTGCTGCAAATTCTCACTCCCCACACCTTTTTCTCACTGAGTCAGAACCGATATCTGTGTGTGATTGGTTTTGCCGGCAATAGCAAACGCACAAAAAAAGACGAGCACCGTGACTGTGCACTTTTGGCGCTTTTGATTGGTGGAATCCGATCGTAGCGTCGAGTTTGTTCGGACTTTGTGTAATACCGAGTCTAGATTATTTTTGCAGATCAAACTGGTCACTCTAGTCGACAGTTTTTTTGTTTTTTTTTGGTAGGTAGTTTGTATAAAGGTGGCCTATATTTTAAAAAAAAAATCAGGCATTTCATTTTTCTTTGTAGCACGACCGCAAAAAGACTGTTCGACGTACACCGCGCATTGTCCGGGCTAATAGGGTTGTTACCGAAAGGAGGGCCGATCGCTAGATCACGTTATTTGATAACAATACGAGTGTTCGTGATTTTCTCCTTTCTGTTCTGCTGCAATCGGCGCCTAAATTAAAGGCTCACTTAAACGAATCGTCCCACTAGCGTTCTTACACTTGACAGAGACGTGTATGTGCGAGATACTTTTGAAGCTGGTTTTTTTTTTTTTTTTCAGATCCCCTTAATAGTATTTTAGTAAGCCACGTTAGCCCGTAAAAAAAAAAAAGAGACAAACAGACGATGTAGTCTTGTATAGAAGGCTGCAACAACCGCGAATGTTTCGTCTCATTAGTTTAGGTTAGTCAACAGCACGCCGTATTTGCATTATATGCATCAAGGTCCACCTGGTCTCTTTGGATGACGTAGATATTGCCTGTGCACACTTGCACAGCACCTGTCCCGGGTGGGAGCTTTCCTGACATCGCACCTCCTCACGTGTCATCTGAACGCGGATGCTAGCCGCGCAGAGGCCTCTGGGAAAAACATCATAGTTATGATTCTGCGTCTCCGGATGAAACTAGAAAAAAAAAAGATCCGGGAAACGCTCGCCGGTATAGTAAACCTTTTGCCAATTCAGATTTATTCGAAAAACGTCGACATTCAGTATCGCGATAAGCGCAAAAAAAAAGAAGCCGAAATGAACACTAGTCTGCCAAGAACGCTGGTTGAGAAGCCTAGACTGAAGCTAACTTCAATTTCATTTCGAATTTCGGACATAGGACAGAATGTTAGCTTATCGTCCACGCCCGGTAAGAATAATAGTTCATTTACTTTACGGCCCCCAGAGAGGTTTATCTACACAAGTAATCTGGACAGTTACCGTTTCGCTTACGAGCTTAGAATCTACTATCTAAACATCTTGCAGGAGTGCGGAGTAATGTATTTATAACAGTGGAAAGCTGTGATTCCAGTATATATCAAATCATCAAATCAGTTTGTTTTGTGCGTGAGGAATAGGCGAAGCTCAAGTATTTTCATTTACCTCGCGGTCATTTTTTTCTTCTTCTGGCATCTGCGATTGAGAAGAAGTGGGAAATAAAATGCAAACTTTCTATGTGCTTATAAATTTGATTGCGGATAATATTGAATTTGAAACCGTGGTAATATCACAAATTTTAACTTGGAATTTCGTAGAATTGAAGATATAGATTAAACTTGCCATAAACACTAAACAACCTATAAAAAATAAACATTAAAGGACGTCCTTTATATTTTATAAAACACAAATGCTATGAAAACGCAGGAACAGTGGGTCATAGTCAGAAACAAATCATGGTGGTACCACAGGAGTTTTCAAACGTAGACTGATATGTATTTCCACACCAGTGAAGTGGGCACGGAAACTATTTAGTGAAACATACATTTTCTAAAGTTTTGTTTTAGGTTGACATTTGCTACAAAGTTTTTTGTTTTTTTTACGCTTCTAAACTTAATTACGCATGTATTCCTAGGAACGTTCTTAGCTTATTCGTAATTAGGGAATAACCGATTATTTTAAAGCTACCGAACGCCCTAAAAACAACAGCAGCTTTGGAAAAACAAGAAGGTGCGCGATCAGTTTTAGAAATTTTCAGCAAAAAATAATCTTCTTGATCTTTATAACAACCAAAACGTCGAGCTTTGCACACAGTGAAGAAAATCGAACAGCGCTTCGCTAGCAGCAACCTGCTTGCTACAAAGAAGCAAACCTAATATACTCCCTCCGTTTACGCCGTAGAAGCTTGAAATGGCAAAGCGACCTTCTCTTCAAACTATAGCTCACAATTTTTAACACAATGCGGAGATGGCTGAAAGAAAGCATAGTCTTACTAAAGATAACTGAAGTGTTAGAAAAACTAAGGGAGCAATGTCAAACATGTGTGATGCATAATGGTACCCCAACAACGCACGCAAAAAATATTTGGTAAGAAAGTAAACAAAGAAGAGTGGTTGTTTGGGCGAGTTGGTTCGACATCTTATACAATCTTGTGCGCAACGTCTTTGTTGCGCACAAGATTGTACAAAAGTAAAAAGTAAACAAGTCGCTTTAGTACTGGAGCAGCAATCTCCTCAGACGGCTGGACGTTCCCCATCCTGTATAAGTCAGAACTTATAACCCCTCATACCGCACCCAAAGCTGGTGAACAAAACTCTGGCCAAAGAAACGTTCATTTTAGATTCTTCGAACACGAAGTGCAGCTAGGTGATCTAGCTTTTCATTTATGTATCATTGCAATGGCTTCTACTGCTTGCCTTGGTTAATCATTTTTTAACTGCTCTACAATTCCCGATACTGACACCGCGTAATCAAAAATGGTGCGGTAAAATAGTGGCAAAGTACTGTTTAGCCAAGTCCCGTGTATATTACGCACGACCCTGAGGATAAAATAAATAAATAAACAAACAAAAACTGAGCTTCGTGGCTCTCTATCAATGGACTCAATGTAAAGGCCTAATCACATAGTATTGTTAGATGACGTTTAACTACGTTTTGGGGACTTATGACTAGTTACGGCAGCGCAAACAACCCAACCGACAAAAGAAATCTGGTTGTCTTGTGGCAAGCTCACCTGGACCCTGTGATTGCTGCTATCAGCGACAACGATGGAGTTATCCGGGCCAACAGCGACGCCCCTGGGCCACGTGAAACAGCCGGGCTCCGTCCCCCGGGTGCCAATTTTGAGCTGCATCCGACGCTTCTGAAGATACATGCTCCTGGGAAATCCGTAGCCACCGTACTGGCCGTCGTGCCTCGATGAACTGCCATCTCTGCCTCTGACCGGCACCTCATCGTCCGAGCTGTTTTCCTCACTTCCGCTGCGGTTGTAGACGACGTGCGAGCTCCGTGACCTGGAAACGTTCTTGCCTCCTGGACCGGAGGCCGAGGAGCCTCCGACCGAACTGGTGCGACATCCGTACTTGTTGCGCAGGTACTGGGCCCAGCTGGAAGAAGCTCCGGAACTGGCCGTGCCACTCTGGTCGCCACCGTCAGGGGACGCATCCTTGACAGCGTGGCTACTCTTGGACCGAGACAGAGTGCTGGGCGGCTCTTGCTTGTACCGGCTCCTGTAGGAGGGTGATGCTGGAACGGCCTCGTCGGGACTATCCAGGTCTCCGGGCAGGACTTCGTTGGAGCTCTTGCTACGCGCGAGGCGACTGCGTCGCAGAGCCGCCGCCGACGTAGCAGGCGAGGTCGTTGTCCTGGAAGTGGAGCTCTCCTGCTGGCTCTTGCGCCTTTCCTGGCGGGGCTCCGGCGGCTCGACGAGGGCCGAGCTGCGGCTCCGACTCAAGAAACGGCTTGCGCCAGACTCCTCCTGATCTTCCTCGGCTCGCCTTCGGTTCGCCAAAAACGAGGAACCACCGTACCGCGAAGACGTCGCCGTCGGGTCGTCCACGGAAGCCGACGGCGAGTCTCTCCAGGACCGTAACCTGCCGGCCTCGTCTTCTTTGTCCCGCGCGTATTGGGAGTGCCTAGTTGAGGGTGCAGGCTCCTTACGCGACGTCGGCGTTGAAGAACGCACGTCTTGACTGCCCCGACGCGCCTGAGCACTCCGATTCAGCAGGGCCGAAACGGACGACGTCATGTCCTCTTCTCTCTTGGGCGCGGGTGACGTCGGCGTCCTGCGGGTGGGTGTCTTGGGTACCTCATCCTCCTCTTCTTCTTCCTCTTCGTCCTCTTCGTCTTCCTCCTCGTCCTCGGACTCGGAGGTCTCCTCGGTGGTGGAGCCTTCGGAGTCCGAGTCCTCTTCCTCCCCAATCTGGGCCTGGGGCCGAAGACGGCTGAAAAAGGACGACTGCTGCGGTGCAGCCTGCGGCAGTGGCCGGGTTGCCTCCTCTTTCTTCTCTCCCGTCGGTCGTCGGCGCTCGTCTTGCTCTACAGATACGGCCTTGGCCAGCGGCGCTCGTACTGACCTGGCGGAAAGAACAGAGGCCACGGACGAGGTCGGGTCGTCAGAGTTTACTTGCATGTCGGCTCGCCCATTGTTTGCTTAGTGTGGAACGTGACTATATGTAGCCGTTGGCAGGCAGCAGGCATTAAACGGCTCAAGTTAGAGAACAATTTTTTTTGTTTTAAGTTTAAAAATAAAACGACGAGGTGAGGTAGGATGGTATACCATTAAAAGTGAACGGAGCAGTTGTTAAAACTACAGTGGTTATTGGACCTACTCGGTAGTTTTTACGGGAGGTGAAATTGATCATTTGTTCGGGATGCACTGAAAAGTTTTCGTTCTCACCGCGTCATTCAGAACCTCGGCATACGAGACTATGTTCGACGTTGTCTCTGGTAGCCTTTGTTGACCGTGGAAAACGATTTTTTTTTCTTCACTTCACCACAGCAATCTACGCATTGATAATATATATTTTTAAGTGAAACCTTATTGGTTGATCGAGCAATAACATTTCTTTTTTCTTTTTTTCTTTTTTTTCCCCCCGATACGCTTTCGCAGTAACCCTGTCATTCTGATTTTCCTGAAGCGCGACTATATTTGAAACTCCCTGCAACCATTGCCTTTCCGGCTAATAAAGAAAGAACAATATCTCTCTACGTTGTAGACAACACCCAGTGCACTAATGATAAAAAGCTTTGAAGCAAAACCTAATCGGCTTTTCTCATGACGGCACTTCTTTTTCTTTTTTTTTGTAGTATGTTGTACCTTTTAGTGACACAGACTGCCTGTATTTAGTTTATCTTAAAACAAACCTTAAGAGATGAATATATAATTACAAATACCGGTTCAAATCCTATTCTAACGTTACCATTAATTTCTCACATTTCAAACCGATTTGTTATATATAAGAAATAAAACATATCAATCTTAATCCAATAGTAAAGAATATAAAACATACCAAATGTTTTATAACACGCCTAATTAATTTTTTTTTCGGTAGTTTAAGAGCGACGTGCACTTTTAACCAGACTTCTGCTGGCACACTGTGTGCATCATTACTTAGGCTACTCGGCGTTCATGAGCACGAAAAATAAATGAATGAATAAGTGAATGAAGAAACGAATTATTCATTTATTCTTTTATTAATTATTTAATTAATATAATTTGACTTCTAGTAGTATATGGTATAGAAGCTGAGCTACCTAAGCTGACCTTATGTAGCAGGGGTCTAAAACACTCGGCCCGCGGGCCTCATTCGACCCGCGACTCGCTTGAACGCGGCCCACAGGCCCAACCGGCTACGAGTCCCGGTTCCTCTGTCTCGAGCACTAAAAACGGCATGCGCCAGTGATATCATCTCGTCGATTCATTTTCGCCGAAAAAGCAGCTCTGCTCTTTTAACATATTAACATAGTTTATACTTGTAAGTGTTCATCTGCATTTTGCTTCCCTTTGTATCATGCTTCCCGGATTTTTGTAATGTACAGTTCCAAGGCTGCAACTGCAAGCTATTCTTCAAAAGAATACATCTCGTCTGCTCGAACCCGATAAGCAGGAGCAGCTGCCAAAGATAAAGCAGCAAGCTCGGAATTCTCTCTTTAAAAGAAAAAAAAAAAGATCGCCTTTTTAAAGACAAGTTTTTGTTAAAAGTCTTGCAATAAAAGTCGCCAGAAAAAGAAAGAACTGTAAATTAGCTGGGTGTCCTTCGATACAATCTGAGCTTGGTTAATTCTTGAATGAATTGAGCAGTAGAAACGACAATGTACTTGCTATCTTGTTCTATTATAAATGCCAGCCCGTACGCGGGATGGTGTCATTTTAATTCTTATTATCACATGATGTTACTGCCAAAAGTAGTCATACAAACAAATCAATTGCAAAAATTTCACTGGCAAAACTGTGAATTTCCAAAAAGCTTAAAGCACAAGGTCTCTTCCCTTTCAAATGTTTTGATTCCCCCCCCCCCCCCCCCCCCCGTTACGTTGGCCCTCGACCTTACTGGTGTGGGCTATCTGCCGTCCCTTCTACTCCCCCCCTCCCCCCACCGAATTCAAGTGAGTTAGAGACCACTGTTATATAGTATATAAGCTGACCTACGAATAAACACAAAATTCGTTTATAAAATTTCAATAATAAATCTATAAACCAACATTAAAACACTGAATGCTAAGTGCAATACTATTTTTTATCTTAGCTTTTTATTTACCAGTGCTTTCTTTCCCTCCAGAATTACACTTGCGCTCGCAAATGAACGATTTAAGAGATCAATGCGCCAATTTATTGGCCCTAGTATCTCCATTGAGCAAGGCAACAGACTACTTCAACGGTACTTTCAAACTATGCCATGCAGATTACTGCCCACACTTCACCAGAAAATCGGAAATGCTTTATTAGTCTCGGTAGTGGGGTTTGCAACACATCCCCCCACAGATTCTTCACCAGCGGCTGGCAGGTCGCACCGAGCCCCAAACACTGCCGTTGCACGCCCGCTCTAGAAACTAGAAGTAATGTAAATCACTACGGGCTCCCAGAGCGGAAGGCGCACCTAATTCATACCATGCGCATGCGTACCAAGGGCTGGGAGAGAGTGAAACTGCTTTGTTAGTGATGTTCGAACAATGTTGTAAGAAGTGTAACTTTGTTTTCTGGGATAACCTTAAGTAGGCGTCTTTGAGTGAATAAACGAACTACCAAGGAGGTCCTCGCAATACCGGTAACTGTTCCATCGACTGGATGCAGGACTGGAAGGTTTTTGAAGAAGCATTTGGAACAACATCGTGCGGAGTGTCGATAAACAAAAATAAATTGAACGATCCTTGGAAAAACGTGTGAAATATGTGACTTCCAGTCTTGGTGCCCTTGATATTGACACGTGTGAAATTGTCCGAATGAGAGGAAACGAGATGAAAGATTTTCGCCCAATGTCTGGACTGCCGTAGGTCATTTCTGTTTTCAGGTGAGCATGGCGACGTCGCCGCCGAATTTCGAAAGTTCGTAGTCGGGTTTATTTATTAGAGGAATTGTTATAGGTCGATTAGTTCGTAAGAGCGCAGCGTTAATCGGTGTGAAGTTTTCCCGAGTTATTGTTCTACTACGGCCATGTCAGCGTATCATCGCATTCCAAACAGGATATCTAACCTTTTCCGTGGTAGCCGACGTCTGCCTAAATGTTGAATGAAGGGTTGAATGAAATGACTTAGCGTGACGAACTCTGCCCCGTTCCGCCGCCGTCAGAGCTTATCCTGTCTTCCATCTACGGAGCAAAAGCGACCGGGGATAAAAAAACAAAAATTAGCGATTGTGTCGAAAAGTATCTCTGATCATCAAGACTCCTCTCTTCAGTACTCAGGCCGCTTTGACAGCGTGATGGTTCTTGCTGAAGAGAATATCTTCACCTTGTGTTGGCAATATATGCAAGCCTCCGTTCTCTTTGAGGATAAGACAATGGCTTCATTTCCGAGAAGTAGGAGATGACGCATACTGTGGAACGATTCTTAGGTTTTATTTCACTTTCTGGGGAGTCTTCTTGTGCTCGATGACTGACGCCCGGGGCACATAAGAACAGCCGACGCCGCTGTGGCCTGCAGGGCATCCCCGGAGCGAGCAGTCCTACACCTTTTTTGTGTCAGCGGATTCCGATGGAACAAGATATAGAAGGCCCCTCGCCGTGCTTGCGCTGCATTATAAATGAAACTTGTTTACCGACGGCAACCACAGTCGCTAACTAGGATCTATATCAGTCTACTGAAACTAACGGCAGCTGTTTTGTTATGTAATTTTTAGATATTTTTAGCTTAGCGGGAGCAAGGTAGTTTTGTATAAGATCATATTATTATAAAAAAAAGCCGCGATCATGAAGATACTAGATTTGTATAGCTAGATATTTGATCTCTTTGAGGAAGGCTACTTACCAATTCGTTTTGTGACCTTGGGGCACGAGCTCGATAGCGCATTCACGAGATGCTGACTCCTTTGTACGCCATTAAATTGATTGGCTATTCACTAGGTGACAACATGGGCCATTCAGGCAACCCGAACGCCATTTTCAGACAAATGACTGGACGCACTCAACAATTTAAAATATCAATAACACTTAAAGGGCGCCAAGACCCACCTAGCCGATTTCCAGCTTCCCCTAGTTCTTTAAGCAAGTGCACTGACACACGCTATAGCCACAAAGCGACCCCAAATTGCATTTGACAAACATATCTTGCACATCAAGTACTCGGCCACCGGAAAACATTCTTCAGCAGATAACTCGTATTCATATAGGCATATTTTTTCTGTGAGTGGACCGGCCATCGTTCTTCCAACCCGACAGTCCAGAAGACACCTCCGCGACCAACTTCAATAGGCAGTGTTTCACTCTCTGCCCAGACACTCGGCACTCCCGCGTGTTAGGTGGCGTCTCATGCCAGTGCGGAAAGGCGAGCAGCCCTACTTGGGACGGCGAGCGTCGCGGAGCACCGTGGCCTACGTTCCTCCAACCCCGAGACAGACCCCAAGCGGGACGTCCTGAAGCGGAAGTAGTCGGGCCTCTCCTGGCCCCGGTACTGGTCCAGGGACGGCCGCCGGAAGGGTGCCGTGTCACTGCGCCCGCTCAGAGACGGCCTCCAGCTCAGGTCATCCACGCAGCGCCGCGACGCTGCCGTCACCATCGGCGGAGACTTGTCGCGCCTCCGTGTCGAGAAGTCCGTGTACGATCGCCGATACGGCGACCGCCGCGTGATCGGAAACAGCGGCCGCTCGTCAAGGTTCGGAGACGCGGCGCGTGGAGGGGACACTGACCTGGTGGGCACCGCAGACTTGGCCGGGGCGGCCTCGCGCCGAGACTCTTCTTCTACCTGCCTTCGCTGCCGGGAACGCAGCGAGTCCGTGGTCGTGTCCTCGGAGGTTGTCGAGCTGCGCCGCGACTGGGCTGGAGTGCTCTCCACGGAACTCTGCCGCGGGGTAGAGGGCGTCCTAGGCGAGTCCGGAGGTGGCGTCCTCGATGGCTCGTCCTTGGAGGCCAGTCTTCGGACCTGAGACGGCCTCATGTCGCTGCTGGGCGGCGGTGACGTGGTCGAGGTGGACGCAGCAGCCGCCTGGTTCGCTGCCTTCTTCTGCTTTTCGACCTCGTCTTCGCTCATCTGCCTGGCGGGCGGCCTCCTCGGTGGCGGCACGGGTACCACAGGGGGTTCCTTCTCCAGCCGCTCTTTTTCAGCTTGCTTCTGCTTCTGCTTCACCTGGTTCTCGTGCAGGCGCTCCATGAACTTTGCCGAGTCGCTCAGCTTGACCACACCACTGAGAGGACCCCGGTTGGCGTCGTCGGTGTCAAACACCTTCTCTCGCGGAGGCGGAGGCTCCTCGAACCGCACGTTCCGGGTATGGGAACCGCCGCTTTCGTTGTCTTCGTCCATAAGCTCTCTAGCGTAGCGAGACCGGAAACCGTGGTGAGTTCCCTCGTCTCGCCACGACCTATCCTCGAAGCGACTGCTACCGTATCGGCTGGAACGAGTGTCGGAGCTGTCGGTGTCCCTGCTCCGGTCCCCGTACCTTCGCAGGATAGAGCTGTCGCTAGCGTCCCTTCGGTTTCTTGTGTACGCCGAGGGACCCTCGAAGCTGTTGTCCCTCTCGGAGTCGCTAAGATGTCCACCGTACCTCTGGCCAATGTCCAGCATGGACCGAGATCCGGCGTCTTGCTTCTTCTGAAATTGAACCGCCAATCTGTGGTCACTCTGACTGCGCATAAGCGCGTTTGCAGTCCCTCCTGAAGACAGATTAAGCTGCGGAACATTCAGTGCTGAGGACGGCTGAGACGTCGGAGGAGTGTTGAATTTCAGTTCGCCGAGGTTAGCCAGGGTACGGTGGAGAGCGTCGGGGTCGGTGTGAATCTGGAGCTTCACCCTTCTTGTAAAATCAGACGTGTCTGGATCGAAATTGCGAAGAAACTCAAGCGACTTGTTGAAGATCTCCTTGTACTCTACCAGTTCCGAATCCGTCCATTCTGTGTCGTCGTTAACGTATTTTTCCACGACGTCGCAGTTGGAGGTGATGTTTGCAATTTCCGTTTCCACGTCTTCAGAGAGAGTGGAAAGTTGCTTGATCTCCTGTTGAAGGTATACGTCGATCTCGGACTTCAGCTTCCCATGAATGAGCTGGAGGTCCTTGACGTAACGGTTAATAAGATCTTCTAGCTCCTCCTTGACGAGGGCGCAGTTGTGCGTCAACTTGTCCTGGTTCTTGTTATTTTGGGCCAGATGTTCAGCGAGTCGGTTGAGCCCTCTGCGTACCTGATTGCAAATTCGACTGATTTCACGGCGCATAATGTCCAAGTGGGCCTCCTTACACACCTCGCAGATCTTCTTCTCGCAATGCGAGCACCTCGTCACGGAAGACTTTTCGCTGCACACGTTGCAGCGCTCCATGGACGACGGCAGCGGTTCGGGCTCTTCACCCGTAATGTCTCTGTGAAGCTCGAGGAAGCGCATCAGTGTGACGTTTGTCGGAAATGTCTGCACGCCGTTGTAAGGAATTCTGGTCTCGGCGCGACACTCGGGGCACTTGATCTGCCTCCGGGCATAGTCCTGCAGACCCTCCAGGCACGGGTCCGCGCAAAAGGAGTGCTGACATGGTAGCAATTTCGGGTTTCGATACCGGTCCAGGCAGATGGCGCACGTAAGCAGCTGGTCGAGCTGGCTCCACGCAGAAGTCATGGCTGAAGCGGGGTTCGATAAACGGTTGCTTTCGATTTCGGGTCGATTAGGAACGTTCGCACTGTTTCAGAACTTGTGGTGTCTTGCGGAGCGGTTGGGCGTAGAACAGGATCTCATGGCGGCTCAGGGAACCGGGATGGTGTGCTGTTGCCGACATCTGAAAATAAACAAAGGGCTGTGAGTGTTTGATTTGCACCTCCACGAGCAGCAGCACGCGCTTTATTACCGGAAGTTTGCTTAGCGCTCGAAATCAACCAACTCACCTTGCGAGCATTTTTTCTTTTTGGTGCAGCATTTTTTTTTTTTTTCAGAGGCAATATTTGCCAATTCTTAGAATAGAGCTAATGAACATATTTATGTCTGGGCTATTCTACAGGGTGAAACAAGGAGACGCCAGGCTCTTTAAATCGTCCGGAAAATTCGGTTTCTTAACCTATCGCGCTACGACTTTGTGCAGCGTTGCCCACAGATGGTGCATTTTTTTTTTTTTTTGTAAAATTTGCGAAGAGTGAACTTACCTGAGGAAAAAGTAAAGAAAGAAAAAGGCTTAGCTCCTATGGAAACGCAGCAATGCCACCGGTCTGCAAACAACACGGCGCTGTTTCGCACGCGAGACAACAGATGGCGCAACAAACGCCGCCAACGAACGAGCATACGGCGCCGAGAGCAGACCTTTTTAGCAGACGATCTTTTCGACTCAAAAGCGGCGCGCGTTCCGCAGGCGGTGACAGTCACAGAAACAAAAAGACAGGCGCGGTAACAGCAAGGAACTGCAGTTCCTTGTCTGCAAAAGGGCCGGCTCTCGGCGTCGTCTGCTCGTTCATTGGCGGCAGTTGGCGCCGCGACCGCTTGCGCCATCTCTTGTCTCCCGTGCGAAAAGGCGTCGTGTTGTTTGCAGACCGGTGGCGTCGCTGCGTTTCCATAGGAGCTAAGCCTTTTTCTTTCTTTACTTTTTCCTCAGGTAAGCTCGCTCTTCGCAAATTTTACAAAAAAAATGCACCATCTGTGGGCAACGCTGCACAAAGTCGTGGCGTGATAGGTTAAGAAACCGAATTTTCCGGTCAAAATAAAGAGCCCATGGCGTCTCCTTGTTTGACCATGTATATTAGTTGTCATTTTCCTACTAAATTTGGAGGGCAAACTGATTTCATGTGACACCATACACGAAATCAATTTCCTCGCAAAGTTTAGCAAGACATTTGACGTCACGTGACGTGACGTCACGGCAGCTACAGACCAATTCAGTTTCCCCACTAAATGTAGCGGAAAAATTTGACGTCACATGACCTTTACATCAATTCAGTTTCCCCGCTGATTCTGGCGGTAAAATTTAGGTCACGTGACCTTTACACCAATTCAATTTCCTCGCTAAATTTGGCGGGAAATTTCATGTCACGTGACCTATACACCACTTCAGTTTTGTGTGAAAATTTGGGGTGAAACTGATGTCACGTGACCTGACGTTACGTGACCTATACACAGAGCTGGCCAAATTACTCATATTTTGTAATTAAATTACATTACTAATTACTTTGCTGAAATTGCTGAAATATAATTAAATTACATCACAAATTACCACAGCCAGAAAGTAATTAATTACCATTACAAATTACTTCTAAAGTAATGACATTACTTTCGCATTACTTTTGTATCCTTTCAAATATAAAGGAGCTATTGATAACTTCCTTTTACAGATAACTTTATTTACATTATTTACACAGTTCATGGCACACAGCTAGAACTCTCTGTTGCATGTTTACCGATGGACAGAGGAACGCACGCGACTGATCCCTTTCCCACCCCAACCCGGACAACTATTTTTGGAGATGACTGAGGACCCTACGCGGATTATCTCTGGGAGGGGGGGAGAACTATTGTCATTGTTCGCAAAATCGCGTCGAGGGCCGTTGCACCAGGGGCCTTAGCTCAACCTACTTCCCCTCCTTTGTTTCCCGAGAATGTCGAGCAGAAAAGCTCGAATGGAAGGCACTTACCAGCCCTATTTCTCACAGTGGAAGATAACACTGAGAGGGTACGCAGTATGCATCAGAAATATTAAGCGGAAACCTTCAAGAGGGGCCAGAAAACGTCGAATGAAAAACCGCAAAACATAGGTAGAGAATCGCGCTGAGCGGGTTTTCACAGTTCAAGAGAGTGGCAGAAAATGTCTAGCTGATAGCGGGCGCGAGAGTCGCACCAGCCGCATTAGCATCAGCAACATAGCCGCGGCCAAAGAACGTTTTTTGGAAAGGTGAAAGGAAAGGTGTAGAGGAAAAAGAAAAAAGTGAAATGAAAAGAAAAGCGCTCTTGTGTATTGTGGACACAAAAAAATATGCCTGGTGCGAAAAAGTACTTAGGTAATTTAATTACAATTACCGTCGCTGGAGTAATTCATTACATTACTAAATTACCTGCTACAAAAAGTAATGAATTACATTACTAATTACTGGAACAAGTAATTAAATTACTGTAATTTCATTACAGTAATTACATTACTGCCAGCTCTGCCTATACACCTATTCAGGCTCCCTCCTAAATTTGGCAGGGAAATTGATGTCACGTAACGTGACATAATATGAACTCAACACCAATATAGTTTTCCTTTTAAACTTAGCGGTAAAACACGACTTCGAAGGTTACGGACACTGCCATGTTTTATCTAATTTCTTGACTTTGCCCATTTCATGTTCTACAATACGGGAAATTGCTAGAACCGGCAGGGTATCACGTTACCTATTTTTTTTTCCGTAATGTATTCCAGCAATTTTGGCTAAAAAAAATTTGAATGTGACTCATTATAGCTGTAAGAGATGGCAGCTGACCCAACAGGAAGGCGTCGGACACGGGGAAATCCACGCGCTAAGATGTTGCGAGCAAAGTTGAGACGGAACGCTAGCAGTTAGTTTTTTTACAATCGCTCTGTGCAAAGGCCTACCATTTAGTGCTCACACGCCACGCTTATGATGCTAGTGCCATTTTATTTTGTTTATTATTTTAAAGCAAAAAAGGCTTTCTAACGAATCCCCTCAATAAAAAAAATACTTTCCGTCCGCGCATTTTTTGCTAAAATTAGCGGGGAAACTAAATTAATGTTTAGGTCACGTGATGTAAAATTAGGCTACGTTACTTCACGGCACATGACCTATGCACCGATTCAGTTTCTCTGTTGAATTTAGCAGAAAAATTAAAGTAACGTTACCTGACGTCACATCACCTAGACACTAATTCACTTTCACCGTAAATTTAGCAGGAAATTTGATGTCCCTCGACCTGACATCACGTTTCCCGCCTAAATTTAGCGAAAAATTATGTAATGCATTTCATATATTACATTACTCTAGATATAAAATCGCTGCCAATATTTTTCCGATCGGTAATTGCACATTTCCTTGAAATGATTTGCCACCTGTGCAGGTTGTTGGTTTTGTACTGAAATTTGTTTTTACAGCGGAAGGCCCAAATTAAGAGCGATTTGTAGACTAGAAAATTTTATGTTCAGAAATGGTTTTGTGACCTTGTTTCACTTGAACGCGCATCTTCATCAGTGGAATCACGAATCATCGGTCTGGCTTCAATTTGAAAGAAAGAAAGCGAAAAATTAATTTTATTACTGCTCCCTTAAAGTTATGCAAGGTCCCCTGAAATGGAATATCTTTATATATCTCTTAATAATCCCATGTTAACATAAATTTTAAAAACAATTCTCTCAAAATAAACCTCGAATGTCAGACACATCCAAACAAACATGTTTTTACTAAAGCAGCCGTTCTCTTCTGTTTTCGGACTGCAGAGCAATGAATAGCTTTGGCTGTTCAAGTGGTATGTCTCAGCCAAAATCTCGAAATAAGTTGATTGGTCGAAGCTCAGGGCTTCAGTGCAGGGGTTATTTTAAGCAACAAAGCAAACAAAATTCCAGGCATATTGTTAGAATAGATGAGCTTGCAAAGCAGAGCTTATTTTAAACTTTCTTCGATAATTCATTCCACGCTGGTTTGTTTATTTACCTGTCAACACCCTGCCAAAAATGTTCGACCTCGAGAACCAATAGAAGGTTGTCACCTGCCATTCCCGTAAATAATTGTTCACGAAATTCGTTCAGCACTTGTGTTCCGCTACGTTGTCATGAACGTTAAAGTGAAAATTATAATTTGTAGCAGCCTTTTTGAACGCCTCTAAAAGTTTAGTTATATCTTACGGAAGCCTGCTTTTTGTTAAGTCCGTTTGAATGAAAAAGTGCAGTCAGCAAACAAAGAACATTAATTGAATTCGCCATGGATGCAAATCCAACTCGGATGAGAAATTTACAGCAATACTCCCTCACCCCAATTTAATCTCAGAAAAAACTCGCATTGGCGGAGGCATCGAGGTACAGTAATGCGCTACATTACGAATCAATACTGATCATTTCTAATCATTACAAACATACTGATATTTCTAACATTACTAATCATTACAAACGTGCTGATATTTCTAACATTACTAATCATTACAAACATACTGATATTTCTAACATTACTAATCATTACTAACTTTACTAATCACTACTAATAAATAGGTATTTAGACTAACGTTGCCTTTTTTAATATCTATATGTTCAAAACGGGCTTACTTTTGCATAGTCCAAAGCTATCTACACTTCATTTCACTTTAACTTTAGTTGTATAAACATTAACATTGGAACAAAAAACAAAACCGAAGGATGGCATGTTTGCCGTACCCCCGAAGGCAAAGTAATATATTACTTTTCTTGCTTCTTTCGTTCAATGACTTTTGTACCCTAATTGTTTTTTCATTAGTGTAGTAACTGTGGGTTTATTTACATGATTAAAAAAACGTATGCCGCTGGCTAACCTAGGGCTTGCTTCATGTCGGCTCAGTCCAGTCAATCGCGCTCAGTGTTCTCTCTCGAGCTCGCTCGCGGTCTCTTCGCGAGATCTCGTCTTCTGCCTCTTTGTCCGAGTTACCACACTCCTCCCGCTTTAATTGTTTAGGTGCCAGCGGGGGCTCCAGCATCCGGTAGGCTCGGTGGCACGCCAAGTCGGTCTGGGGGACGCCGGATCCGTTGAGGGTAACGGTTTGAGTGTTCAGTCGGAGGCGTGGCTGCGTCTCCTGCCGGGCCTGGCTGTACCACTGTAGGTGGGGCTCTTCCCGATGAAC